GCCGAGTGGTACGGGTCATCATGGTCGGGAGCGGGCGTGGATGGCGTGGATGACATGGCGTGGATGGCGTGGATGGCGTGGACAGCGTGGACGGCGTGGATGGCGTGGATGGCGTGGATGGCGTGGATGGCGTGGATGGCGTGGACGGCGTGGACGGCGTGAGAGGGATGAAGCATGGAGGAAGTAGTGAGGAACCGCAACGCGTTTCTGCTGTCGGTTGCATGCAAGCATCATTACACCACCATAGTGCTAAGCATCACCATCACTGCGACAACGGCGCATCAAAGACCAACACAACCCCGTCATCCCCCGCAGTAACAACAACCTCTCCACCCCCCTGCACAAAAGCCAGCACCCCTCCTCCCTCGCCGCCCCCCCTATGCCCTTTCCACTCGCCCACTAACCCCCTGTTCGCCGCCGTGGTACCACCGCGCGCATCCCACCTCCTCACCACGCCATCAAAGCCCGCGCTCGTAAGCAGCCAGCCCCCCGCGCCTTCCTTTTGCACAAACTGCAGCTGCACGACGGCATGCGGCATCTCGTCGTCGGCGTGCGCGTCCTCGATGCGGCGGCGCACGGCGAAGCGGTGCGCCGTGTCGAAGAGCGTGATGGAGCCGTCGACGTTGCCGGCGGCCATGAGCGTCAGCGGTGCGGAGGTGAAGGCTAGTGTCTCGACGTTGTCGGAGCCGGCTTGGAGGGAGGCCAGGATTTGGCCTGTTTGGCTTGTGGACGCTTGCTTGCTTCCTGGTTTGGGTTTGGAGCTGGTCGAGGAGGGCCCTGCGGATGGGGAGGCTTCTGTGGATAGGCGCGGCAGGCCGACGATGCGGATTTGGCCTTCTGGCCCGCCGACGGCGAGGAAGGCACCCGACGGTGCGACGGCGATGCTGTATAGGCCGCCCTGGACGAGGAAGCGCTCGTCGTGGCCGGTGAGGGCGACGACGGCCTGGGCGGAGGCGTCGACGAGGCCCTGGGCTGCTGCCGCGCCGAACACGTCCCACACGTACAGGCTGCTGTCCTCGCTGACGGTGGCGAGCAGGGCGCCGTCCGGGGTCCAGGCGCCCGCGGTGGTCGACTCGGTGTGCAGGTAGTAGGCGTGCAGCAGCTGCAGCTCGCTGCCCTTTGTCGTGGACAGCTGGTAGACCCAGACGGAGCCGTCGACGGCGCCAAGGGCGATGACGTTGGGGTGGGCGGGCGAGGGGTTCGGGGCGAGCCAGCTGATCTCGTCGACCTCGCTCGCCTCGGCCAGAAACTTCCACTTGCGGGCGTCGGGGGCGCCCTGCCACACGCGCAGCTTGCCGTCGAGGCCGGCCGTGGCGACGAACTGGCCCTTTGGCTGCGAGAAGGCGACGGCGTTGATCGAGTCCGTGTGGCCGTCGAGGGTGAAGATGCTCTTTAGCCCCTCGCGCTCGCCCGCCTGTGTCGTCTGCGGCGCCGCGGTGATGTCGACAATGTGGCCCACGTCGTCGCCGCCGCCTGTGGCGATCATCTCCGGGTGCACGGGATGCTGGGCGATGCAGAAGATCGAGTCCTTGTGCTCGTCAAAGTGCGCCACCGAGTCGTTTTGCAGGTTGATCTCCATCTGCACGTCGTCGTCGCCGCCGTCGTCGTCGCTGTCCATGGGCACGTCGCCGTCATCCTCGACGATTTCGGCGGCCTCGTCGGCGTCGAGGACGTTGTCTTCGTCGTGGTAGTCGAGCTCGGGCTCGTCGTGGGGCTGTTGCGCCGACATGGTGTGGTGTGTTGGTGTTGAGCTGCAGAGAGACTTTTTTGTTCGGCTGCACGGCGGAAATCTATCCATGGAGGGGCGGCCGACGCCGACCCCACACACGTCATTTGTAAGCGCAGGGCTGACAAGACGTAAAGTCACGACATCGACGGCGCTTACCCAGCCCACGACTGCATTGTGCACAGGTGAACGTAGTAATCAATTCATACAGCATTCCTACAGCTTGCTACCCGCCAGCCTGCGCTTCTCCTTCTCCTTGTCGCGCAAGAAGCGGCGCAGAATCTTGCCCGACGGCGACTTGGGGATCTCGTCGATGAACTCGACGCCGCCTGTGATCCACTTGTAGCGTGCCTTTGTCTTCTCGACGTGCTTCTGGATCTTGCGCGCCGTCACGCGGTCGCTCTCCTCCATGCCCACCGACGGCGACTTGACCACAAACGCCTTGGGCACCTCGCCCGCCTCGTCGTCGGGGACTTGGATCACAGCGCAGTCGTTCACCGCTGGATGCGTGAGCAGATGTGCTTCGAGCTCGGCGGGGGCGACTTGGTGGCCCTGCGTGGGTGAGCATGTGGTTACAGCGTGAATGAGTGAGTGGTCACAGCGTGAATGAGTGAGTGGTTACAGCGTGAGTGAGTGAGTGGTTACAGCGCGAGTGAGTGAGTGGTTACAGCGTGAGTGAGTGGTTACAGCGTGAGTGGGTGGTTACAGCGTGAGTGGGTGGTTACAGCGTGAATGAGTGGTTACAGCGTGAGTGAATGAGTGGCGAGTGGTGAGTGGTGAGTGGTGAGTTTGACGTACCTTGACCTTGATGAGCTCCTTGATGCGGTCTACAATAAACACATGCTCGTGTCCGTTCGGGCCCTTGCGCACAACCGCCTCGTCGCCCGTGTGCATGTACCCGTCCCGGAACGTCTCGGCGTTGGCCTTGTCGTTGTTGAGGTAGCCCAGCACCACGGCGGGCCCCTTGACCAGCAGCTCGCCCGGCTGGTCGTACCCGGTGACCTCGTTGCCCTCGGGGGTGATGATCTTGCACTCGATGTCCGGCAGGATCGAGCCCGACGAGCCGAACCATACGTCGTCGAGCGCCGTCGACGTCACCACTGTGCACGTCTCGGTCAGCCCGTAGCCCTGCCGGATCTTCCACGAGGGAAAGATGGCTTGCAGGTCCTCTGCCGTCTCCTTGCCCAGCGGCGCGGCGCCGGTGAACAGCGACGAGACGGAGCCGAGGTCGTACTTGTCGAGCAGCGGCTTGTTCTTGGTCATCTGGATGATAATGGGCGGGACGAGGTAGAGCGTGTTGATCTTGTAGTCCTGGATGGCTTGGAGCGTGCTGCGGAACTCGAATTTGGGGAGCACCACGACGCCGTCGCCGCGGTACATGGAGGCGTGGCAGATGACGACCAGCCCGTAGATGTGCGACATGGGGAGCAGGCCGAGCCCGATCTCGGTGTAGGCGGACTGGTTGCGCAGGTCGTTGATGATCGTGTCTCTGTACGGCTTGTCAAAGGCGCAGATTTGCACTGCCGAGGGGGGTTAGCATTGCTTCCATGAACCAAGTGACGACCTATTAGCATTGTCTCCATGCCGATGGCTTGACCTACTTGTGTTGGCGATGACGTTGCGGTGCGAGATCATGACGCCCTTGGGCAGTCCCGAAGTGCCGCTGGAATAGCACAGGAACGCCGCCTTCTTCGCGCCGTCGCCTTCCTTCCAGTCCAGCCTCTCGAGCCGGTCCAGCTTGCGCCCCTCGCGGATAAAGTCATCCACCGTCTTCATCCCGCTCGGCACGCCCTTGCCGCCCGTGAACGCCGTGGGCACGTCGAGGATGTAGATGCGGTTCTCGGGAATACCGCTCTTCTGGCAGGCCTCGCGCGCCGTCGCCAGCAGCGGGACGCACGTGAACAGGCACTTTGCGCCCGAGTTCTTGAGCTGGTACGTGAGCTCGTCGACGCTGTAGGCAGCATTGGCCGGGCTCTGGACGCCGCCCAGGCGCTGCGTCGCCCAGGCCAGCGGCAGCGTGTCGAGCGTGTTGACGCTGAAGACGGCGATGACCTTCTCCCACTCGGAGCCCGCATTGGGCGCGAACCCGAGCTCCTTGGCCAGCCCGCGCGCCAGGAAGTCGACGCGCTCGCGCACCTCGAGCGCCGAGTACGTCTTGCCCGTCAGCCCGCACGTGAAGGGCGCGTTGGAGTAGCCCAGCGGGTGGCGCCCAAAGTGCTCGTCGAGCATGAAGTCACAGATGGGGATCGAGTCGGGCGGCGAGTGCGGCAGCGCCGGCACCCACGAGGGCGATGTGAAGACCATGATGGCTGCTCGTGTGTCAGTCTGCGTATTGAACAATCAACGTCAATTGCAACCACCACACGTGACGCACCGTGTATACAAGGCGACGCACCGTGTATACAAGGCGACGCACCGTGTATACAAGGCGACGCACCGTGTATACAAGGCGACGCACCGTGTATACAAGGCGACTCTCCGGTATACAATGCAACTCACCGGTATACAATGCGACCCACCGGTATACAATGCGACTCACCTGTATACAATGCGATTCACCGGTATACAAGGCGACTCACCAGTATACAAAAGCAAATGCAAATGCTGGCGTCTCGTCCTAGGGATGTAGCGGCGACGTCTGCTTTAAAGCGAGGGAAGTCCGGGGACACTACCGCTTTTCCCCACACCCCACAGATAGAGTCGCGCTGTGCTACATAACGCGCTCGCCAAGTAGCCGAGGCTCGTGGGGTCCTTGCCGGTGGCATTCTGGCTCGGCTTTCTCGTCGCAGCTAAGCGGCCATATACCGGTACCGTGTTTCACCGCCTCGTGCACGCCCCGGGCCTGTGCACGAAAATCATCCTACTCAACACCACTCAAATGAAGCTGTAGAGCCACACACAAAAGCAATTATCACGAGATTTTTTGGTGGAGTGTTTGCACACCTATTAGAACACATCTACTTTTACAAACTTGGCTGGCAATTTGATAGCGCAGCCGCGGCGGGTGGTTGTTGCAGCAGCGGGTGGAGGAGCTGCCTCGGCAACAACAGGCTCTAAGGCATCCACCACAACAACTTGGGGCTTCTTTGAGCGAGTAGGCTCTTTGATGCTAAGCCTCTTACTCTTTTTAGACAATTGTTCGTCTTGTTGGAGTTGCTTGTTGACCTCACGATCGATTTTGAGTTGCTCCTTCTGCTCAGCCTTGCGCGCAGCTTCGACCTTCCTTGCCTTAGCTGCTCTAGCTCGCCCTCGACGCCTCTCCTCTGCAAGCTGCTCTTTTACACGCTTGTCCTGCTCTTTCTGCACCACTGCTGCGCTTTTTTGCGCTGCTAATTGCGCTGCGTTGAGGTCTAGTTGTTGTTGTTTATCCCTAGCAGCTTGCACCTTCAAGGGACTATAGAATACAGCACCACCAGCGTAGGCCTCTGGTGGCGCTAGCAGCAGCGCTTCGCCTTGTTGACGTCGCTTTTTCTCGTTATCAAAAGCACCTCGGAGTTGCTTACTTTCGTGCTCTAGCAGCTGTACCTTGACGCTTATGGTATGGATAGTGTGTGAGAGCTGTTGTGCTCGAGAATCGCGTGCAGAGTCCACCTCTATTGCTACTTTTTGCAGCAATCGCTCAATCTTACGCCAATCGCTTGCGCTAAGTACTAAGGTGTTGCTATTGCTGCTGTTAGGTCGCTTGATTGCGTTGTTTTCAAAGTGACCTACAATAACACTAGGGTTAAATGGGTGCAGTTCTGTAGCAGAGAAGGACTTTATAATGTTCTTGGAGTGCATAGCAACCTCCTATGCAATAGAGAAGAGCTGATAGAAGTCGCGTTCAGTGACAGAGGATAGGCCTTGACAGCGGTGGAGGTGAGCTAAGCACCTGCAAGGAGCAAGAAAAGTACTACATCCAGCAGTTGCAAAGTATGCGTACTGTGTGGCGGATAGATTATTAGAAATATCTTGTTCTTATCACAGAAGTTAATAAACTTCATTGTAACATAAGAGCCATGGCCATCAAGTATAAGCAGACGCCACTGTTGCTGTGCCTTGACCTTAGTCTCGCGACCAAAGACTCCTTGCAACTATGCAAGCCCTAGCTTGTTGCTAGTCTATCTATTTAGTAATGACGCAAAGAAAGCTTGGTGTTGTTCTGCGTTGAAGTCCTGCAACTAGGTGTCTTGTATGTTGCCACTTACTGCCTGATAGATCAGTGCAGGAGTGAGTGCGCTGCCGTCAGCACACACACAGGCCAGCAGCGTTATCCATTCACGGTTGCTATCTTGGAGTGAGCTTCTCAGCTCGCCTGCTTTATAACGGCGCCTAGAGAAGATCTGTTTAGACTTGCCCATGATACTAATTAAAAAGCCCTTCTCATCCATGTTGTACATGTGCTCAGGTTGCATGTTGTACTGCTGCAACTTCTGCTCAAGCAGCTCAAAATGGAGCTTGTATTTGTGTGCTGAATTAGCTCTGTGGCGATTGCTATCCATAGCTGATGCCCATCGTGAGAGCAACTCGCGAGGATGTTGTTCAAGGAAGCAGTCTGCCTAGTTTTTGCCAACGTATTTTCTTGAGATCTTGCTAGCAAAAGTTCTCATCGTCTCCCTTGTTAGTAGAAGCCCTCTCTCACATAGCTGATTAATGTATTTAAGAAGTTGTAGCTCTTGTTGTGGGTTAAGATGCCTTTGTTAATTATTAGCTGTATCTTAGGTGCTACATACCCGTTGATTAATCACATTCAATTTTTTTGCAAGCTGAGTGCAGTGAGGCTTTTTGCCAACCTCTAAAGCACTTAGAGCTTCAAGAGCTTCTTCTAAAGTCGTGTTGTGGTAGAGTAATACTATACTAAGTATTGACTGTTGAATGTTCGTTGGGGCCAAAAATCGTGCATAGGTTGGGGACGTGCACGGGGCGGTGAGACACGGTAGTGTTCGGCCACATGTACGGTAGTGTTCAGGTAGTCGCCGCGTCCGGTTGGTTGCGCGGCTGGCGACTCGGCTCTCTTCCTCGACCGTGTCTGACAAGTTCCAACGTGTCTGGCAACAGCAATAATGGAGGCAGTTCCGCGCAGGTGCTGCAGTCGCCCTCATCGTTGGATGTGTTGGGACTCATGCACGAAAGACGTGGTTCTATGGTGCGCCGCGTCATGACCGCCCTGAAAGGGTGCGTTGGCCGCGGACCTCACTTCACAACGCGAACGAGCAGCATCAATCGCCTTGCTGCCGCGAGGTCTTGACAGACGCTGGGATCTCTGTTGTTGATAGACTGCTGTCTTCTGAGCTGCCATCTTTCCGTCTTTAGTCTTCGTCCTGACTTTAGCCTCGTCTGACCTCAGCCTCGTCTGACCTCAGCCTTGTCCTGACCTCAGCCTCTTTGATGTCACCCCCTCACCAGTGTGCATTTCCTTGTCATCGCACGCGTACGCTTCTAGAAATCCCTATTTCCATCCAAAGTTCAATTCGTCCATAACCTACACAGACATCATGCCTTTGTCAAAGCGCAAGAGGCAGTCGACCGATTCGGCCATCGCAGACATGTCGAGTGTGGAGTCGTTCGCGATAGAGCCACAGACACAAGCAAGCCAAGATCAAACACGTGAGCTTCGTCATGTCCACCAGGAGAACCAGTTCAAAGGGTGCACGGGGAGCTGGATCTTCGACGCGAGGGACTTTGGGACTGCTGCGAGTCGACGACCGCAAAGAGGTGTCGTGGGAACACCGACAGCAGGTATCTCATCCCTCACAACAAGTGGGAGCCAGGCAGTAGTCACGCATGTTCCCATCGGCACGCCTGCCATAGAAACAGACCACCAAGTGAATGGAATCCGTAAGAAGCCCAGACAAACGCCCCGTCGCAAGCAGGCGCCCACTGCGTTCCCTACACCACCACAGACCGCAGAGAAGACAAACACCCAGAGCCCTTCGCAGCCATCCCTTTGCAGATCAACCCAGGAAAGACGCCCGACGGAGCGCTCGCAACAGTCTTCCATTGAGCAGCTCACGCCGTGCAAGAAGAAGACTAGACGGAGCGTTGTCAGTGCGGCCGGCGAGGAGACGTCCGCAACAGAGACCCGCAAATCGTGCATTGTGCGTCTGCGGGTGTCTTCTTTCGCAGCGCAGCGTCAAGGCAGCCAGATGTCGTTTACAGGATCTTTCAGCTACCGGCAGAAAAGTGGCGATGGGCAGGACTCGCACTGCGCTGACCGCAGCTTTCAGGACTACGGACCGGAGACCTTCGCCCAGCCACAGCCGGATCCGATACCTGTGAGTAGTCAGGATCTGTACTCTTCCCAGCTTGGGCCAGATGACGAGGAAGCTGCTTCAAACGAAATGCCGCATGTGGAACAACTTCAGACCGGCGGGGACGAGACACGGGAGTGGTTCAGTACGTCTACTTGGCTTGCGAGGCAGGATCAGCGGGAACCACTCGCGGACTCGACTGAGGGGTCATTGACTCAGCAGAGTCCAGGACGTGCGCAGGACGATGTTGCGGCTGAGGAAGACCAGACACAGCCCACGTTGCCGTGGTCTCCCCCTTGGAGTCAGTATCACTTCATCTGAGGTCACATGTACTGACTACCTAGACGCTCCATCGGCCGCACCTACACAACAAGAAACACCGAACTCTTCCTTCCACGCATCGCAGGCGACAACGATCGATGAGACGCAAATGGATGTCTTTACCTCAAACCCATCACTCAGCAAAGAAGAACTACGCAACATCGCTGACAAACTCCTCGCTCATCGCACCTACGGTCCTCCCAAGCCAGAGCCTATCGGACAGCCAACAGTCTGGGCCGATGCACGCATGGATCTCTGCGAAACCCTGCACTACTTCCGCAGCTATCAAGGCGCTTGCCACTCCACCGGCGGCTTCGTGCGAGGCTTCATGTTCGACAAGGTAGCCCATCTGCGCGACTACATCGACAGCAACGTGGTCATCGCGCGCGCGGGTGGAGGGCAAGTCAAAGACAAGGAGTCCGGTGAGATGAAGGCCTCCGGGGACCAAGTCGAGGGTACCACGAGCCAGAACCTACGGAACTGCATGGCCCATTACAATCCCGTGGTCATCATCACGGGAGCGGACAACCCGCACATGCCAAGCCAGCCTCCGCATCAGTACTGCGTCCTTGACTACTTCAAGCCCACGCACATCTGGACTGAGAAGAGCGGGAAGAGCAACATCGTACGCTACCGGCTCGAGAAACTCAACGCGCAAAAGATCTCCTGGTGGTCTCCAAAAACCCACCCAGACACCATTGCGCTCGGCTCTCTCCCACCACCATTCGTCAGATCGTGTGGCACTTGCGCGAAAGAGTCGACCCAGATCTATCTCAACGGCTGGATGTGTCTCTCGCCTAGCTGCCCCAGCTTCTGGCTCATCCTGCCCTCCAGCGCAGACTCGCCGCACACTTCGCCCCGCGAGCCCGCCGAAGCAGACTTGACCTACGACCCGCGCTTCCTCAAAGCGCACACCCCCTGGCCCAACGATGCCCACGAATACACCCTCAAGCCTGTCCCGGCCTCGCTCTCCCACCACGACGTGCCCGGCGAAGACACATCCGAGGCCTTCACCCGCGGCCTCGTGTGCCCCGACTGCGGCCGCTGCACTCCGCGCCTGTCCTGGAGCGGATGGGAGTGCCCGTGCAGCTGGACCTACATGCTACCACACACCCTCATTCCCGCGCTATCGATCCGCGAACCGCTGTGGCCGCTGAGTGACGCATACACGTGCAGCCGCGACACACACTCGCCGCTCGTCCGCGTGTCCGTCTCCTTCGCCCACGGCTACCGCGTGAACCGCTACGCCATCCCCGGCATCGACGGCTTCGTCACGCACATGATCGCCAACCAGACCGTGGTGCAGGAGCGCGGCGGCCCGGACGACATGTTCGAGGCGCTGCAGGGTCTCGACATCGGGCTGCGGCGGCGCCCGCTCGAAGGCGCCATGCTAAAGGGCGGCCTGTTCACGCGCCACCTAGCCGTCAACTACGGGATGCCATACAAATTCATCGCAGCAACAGCCTCGCACGCGTTCCCCGCGCCATCACACCCCGTCAGCGCCGCACGCTCACGGCTCACATGGGCAGCGCGGCACTGTCTCTCCGCCGCATCACACCAGGACCGAGCAGCCTTCACCACACACCCCTTCAACGAAGTCCTCGCCCTCTGCTATTTCGAGTCCCAGCGCATCAGCTACCACGACGACGGCGAATCCGGTCTCGGGCCCACAATCGCCACCCTCTCCCTCGGCGCGCCCGGTTTGATGCGCATCCGCCTCAAAGCCAAACACCACCACGGCGTCAGCAACGCGGGGGTATACACACCCGCCTCGCCAGTGCCGGGCTGCATCGCATACAAAGCCCGGCGCGCGCTGGCACCTGACCTCGCACTGCTTAAGGGGCAGATAAGTCCAACCGCGTTCCGGCACAGACTCAAGCAGATCCCGCACGAACTGGGGCTGACAGCGCGCGGCACCGCGCGTGATGTTCTCGCCCTCCATGTTGCGCATGGAGATGTGGTTGTTATGCATGGACGCGCGCTGCAGGCGTATTATGAGCATTCTGTTGAGCATGCGGGGAAGTTGCGGTTTGCGCTTACCGCGCGGTATATTGATCCTGAGTCGCTTGGGGAGGGGGAGGGGCCGGGTTATGTTGTTGGAGGGGATGAGGGGGGGTATGATGGGGGGATGCTCAGGGAGGGTATGCGGGTGGTGCAGAAAGGAGATGAAGGTGCGGATGCGGTTGAAAATGATGGGGGGAGCGCGACGCAGCACTCGCTCTAATACTATATGCTGTACACCATCCACGAGTGCAAATATAACGTTCCACATATGAGAAACGCACGGGAGTGACAGTGCCGGTGTGGCGTGGTGTGTATCTCGTCAACCGGTATCAATTATTAGCCGTAACGCTCTCTTTCTCTGACAGCTGGCTAAAGGCAAAAGGAAGGGAAGGGACTCCGATCTAGCGGAAAGGGGAGAGGGAAAGAGAAATAGAGGAGAGAGATCAGGCGTGCTGTGTTGTGTGTACTGGAACTGAGCGGGTGATGGGTGCGGATGAGATGAGAGGGGCTGATGGTGATTGGGGTGGACAGTAGAGTGGTAGAGGGTGGATGTGCTGGGTGCTGGGTACTGGGTGCTCGGTGAGGTTGGTGGGTTTGTGTGCTAAGGGCTGGTGAGCGAGGATATGGATGGGAGATGTTGAGATGCTGGGATGGTGGTTAGGGGGGGAGAGTGGAGGGATGGATGGAAGTGCTGGGTAAGGTTGGTGGGTTTGTGTGCCGGTGGTGGTGAGGGGGGAAGGGGTGGAGATGGATGGATGGATAGTGTACAGCACGTTGCAATGTGCCTTTGATCAGTGCCAACATATACCTATTGCCTTGGTAGAGGGCGCAGCAAGTCACACGTTGATCAGCAGGCTCAGACATAGTCACTACATGTACGCATGAAGAACTAAATTTATGGCTATGCCAGGCCAGAATCTGAAGTTACACCGTGTAGCTGGTGTTTTGAAGCGCCTTGTACTCACAGTGTTGTCGTTTTCAGGCGGCGGAGAAGGAATAGCTTCACCAGTAGAGAACGAAGCGTCTAAACAAGAAGGCTTTGTGACAGAAACACCTATAACTGTTGGCAAGGACTGGAAGAAGCTTTCCTATATGTGTATTTCCGTGTGGTTTCATGCCGGGTATGGGAAGTATATGTTGCGTTCTGTGGACAGGGGGAAGAAGATGTGGAGAACTGCTTTGGCTATTGAGGCATCGCCGTCGACGAAGCGTGCTGAATGACTGAGCAACAAGTCAAGGCGTATATCCCTTGCAGCACCAGCTTCGCTTCAATAAAGCTATGCAGTCCCGATTGATGCCCCGACGTGATTTTGGCTTTCCGAACGCGGGAACACGAGCGTCGAACGCGGTTAAGCAAGATATACTCCAGGTCGTATCGGATGCGTCCAGTTACGCTGAGCCACGACCAGCTTGGCGCGAAGTATGCTGACGTCCTCATGCTGTTAATATGTCCGGTACAATTAATACTCCAGCAAAGTTGATAAATAAGGTCTTTCTTCCAGAGACCAGCTAGATACACGTCGCCGGTCAAGCTTCTCATTTGTCCTGCAAGGCCGGCAAGAGCAATGACCCTGTCAGAGATCTTGGAAAAGGCGCAGAACGTGTATGACTCAACCAAACGAGACCAGATTTCCTGGTGATATGGCGTGCTTGCTACTTGTATGGCAGGCTTCCCGTGCCCCCGCGGACCAAAGTTCATATATGCTTTATGAATCCCACGTGGGAAGTCTTCGGACGCGATGAGCTCATGGTACTCCCAGTACACTTGACTTCTTGCGAAATTGAGTTGTCTGTTGGCTAGACATCTCTCTTGAATTACCCAGCCGCGTTTATTGAGTGGAGCATAGGTAATATCCCAGCGGTACAAGCCAGTGCAACGTAGGGTGTAGTCGGTCGCCTCACCAGCAGGATTCTCAATTGTAACGGTAGGGGTGTACTGTTTTCTGGGAAACAAACCATCGTTACTACTTGGTGCCCAAGTTGCAGCGATATTCAAGTTCTGGCAACGATGGATGTGATGCGGAGCTTTCATATATTGCCGCCTGCTCATCTGCAGGTTCCATGGCTCTAGAGGATTTCTCGTGAGACTCGGAGCACAACGTCATCCAGTAGTTCCACAAGTCCGATCTTCTCTGACGCCTTCCCGGTGAAATATTGCCGTCATTCTGTGGTACTGACAGGTAGGGCCCCATCGACATGTGGGTATTAAGCTTACTTAGATCTTGCTCGGCGACCCATGCATAGTCGGTGTCGTCTATCCTGTCATGATGTGAGTTGTTCCTGTATCCTCCCTTCAACTCGCCACATACAACCAATGCACAAGTCCGGCATCTTTCTTTCAGCGAACGATGGATATCCAGTGGTAAGTTGATTTCAACGTAGAGTCGTGGTTGTGCGAATCGTTTACGTCGAACCTGATCCTGGATGGCCCAGTGGCACGATGCACAAAGTCGGCTTCGGGGAAGCTCTTCATCTGCGCGACAATCCCACTCGAACAGGTTGGCCATATTTTTCCGGAAGGGTGAGTATGATCAACCAGCGCCTACAGAGAATGAAGAATTCAAGACCGGCGTTCGTCAGCTTAAGATGCAATGAAGATGCGCTGAACACGGTTGAATCAAAACACACAGATATCAACTTTGGAAGGTGGTTGTTTGAGAGTTTCTGGCGATGAAGAGGTTGTCGCTTATCTGTAGGGTAGGCTGAGGGAAGGAAGTGGGGTGGGTGTCAGACGTAGACTTATTACGGCCACCAGGCCGGTCCCCTCTCTCCTCCCTACATTACTCCTTTCGTGTGACAGAAGTTGTCAGCTGCACTCCACGGATCACTGAAAATCTGGGAAGCGGCCACTGAATCTCAGTATCCCCCTAAGCCTTCTGGAGGGTGCGGTGATTCTGCTTTGATACAAGACTCCTTATGCTCCTTAAAGGAGAGATTGCCACAGAAAACCGAACAAGAGAGTATATCCGAGACCTGTTCATCAGTCTGGGCAATATCTCAGAAAATCATGCGCTGAGAGTGGGCCTTTGATAAGGGTACCCGCATACATACATTGCTGCGCGGTGATCTTGGCCTCTCCTCTAGATCTAGCCCTTACTTCATCTCTCTGAACCCTCCAAGTATATCGTCATTCCCGTCTTTGCTATATAGGAGAAGACTTCATGGAAAGTGTTATTTGAAGAAGCAGGTTTGCTAACTATGGATATTCAGGTACTTGGCAGAGCAACACAGCAGAACATCTCCGACGTGTCGTACTCGGTCCAGCATACAGTACACCCTAGAAAAAGTCTGCCGATATCCGAGAGCCGTACATTGTAAGACCAGGCATCTCATAGCACAAAGACCTCCTGGTCTCAGTGTTCGCATAGACTCTTGGAATGCAAGAGAAAGCTTCACTGTATAAGCAAAGCACTCATCCAAACGGTCCTTCCCAATTCCATCTCCCACCTTCTGTCTTCCTCCTTCAGCAATCGGCTCTTTCTGCTGTACCGGAACCCCGTACCCAACACCACCCACACCGCGCCCTCACCCGCACATTCTCCCGAAGACAACCAAGATACTGGTCTCGCAGACTCCGCAGCCCAGCCGTCAGCTGTGTTTCCGTCACATCTGATTGTCGAGCTAACGGTTGATATTACATTACATTACGATACTATACGATACGATACAGATGGGATGGGTCAATATCCTCCCAGCGTCTGAGATGCCGCATGGGGACGTGAGGTTAGCTGCTTGGCTGGCGACAATGACGGCGACGACGACGGCGACGACGACGGCGACGACGATGACGATGGCTGAGAGGATGTCAAGGGATTCTGTTGTCAATCTAGGAGTGTGTTGTCTGCTGATGTGTCTGCATCTGGCAAAGGGAATCGGCGCGTGGAGTACATTTAGCGGCGGTGTTGCTGCCAGTCTGGTGTGGAGGTGAGAAGGGTTGAGATATGGGCCAGTCTGCGGTTGGGTTAAGGGAGTTGGGGGATGTCGAGCGCGTGGTGGACGGGACGGAACCCTGTTCCTTCCAACGGCAATTTGGGTTGTCGAATAACTGCAATTCCATGTGCTGACCGTTTAACGGCCGCCGACGATCATGTCTATGCTTCATCAATCGCTCTTTGGATTGGACACTGCACACTTTTGCATTTCTTCGGACTACCCCTAAATGTCCTGCTTCCACTCCTTATTAAACGCACGACCAATGACCATCCTCCGCACCTCGCTCGTCCCCGCGCCAATCTCATAAAGCTTGGCGTCCCGTAGTATTCTGCCGACAGGGACCTCATTCATATACCCCATGCCGCCCATGAGCTGGACGGCGTCAGCAGCGACCTCGCTAGCGCGCTCGGCGGCGTACAGGATCGCGCCGGCGCAGTCCTGCGTCTTGATAACGGGATCGGCGTGCGACTCGTCCACGGCGCGCGCAACGCTGTATGTAAACGAGGCGGAGGCGCGGTACTTAGTGTACATGTCCGCCAGCTTGCCCTGGACGAGCTGGTTGTGCGCGATGGGCACGCCGAACTGGCGTCGCTGGTGCGTGTACGGCAACGCTGCGTCGAGGGAGGCTTGCATTAGGCCCAGGGGCCCAGCGGAGAGGACTAGGCGCTCGAGATCCAGGCCTTCCATCAGCACGCGGACGCCGCGGTTGAGCTGGCCGAGCATGTTCTCCTTGGGTACAAAGACGTCTTCGAAGACGAGCTCGCCCGTGTTGGAGCCGCGCATGCCGAGCTTGTCGAGCTTGTTGGCGACGCTGAAGCCTTTGGTGGATGTGTCGACGATGAAGGCTGTGATGCCCTTGGAGGCGGCGGTGGGTTCTGTTTTGGCGTACACGACGATCGTGTGTGCGTCTGGGCCCTGCGATTCAATTGTCAACATCATTTCCCGCGAGCTGTAGATCGTGGGCACTCACGTTCGTGATCCACATCTTCGTCCCGTTCAGCAAGTACCCCCCGTCGACCTCCTTGGCCGTCGTCTTCATGCTGACCACATCGCTGCCCGCGCTGTGCTCGCTCATGGCCAGCCCGCCGATCTGGTCCCCACTGATCAGGCCGGGGAGGTACTTCTTCTTCTGCTCCTCGTTGCCGTTGAGCATGAGCTGATTGACGCACAGCTGACTGTGTGCCGCATAGCTGAGCCCAATGCTGCCGCTCGCTCTGCTCAGCTCCTCCATGACGACGCAGTGTGCCTGGTACCCCATCGCGAGGCCGCCGTACTCTTCAGACGCGGTAATGCCGAGGAACCCAGCTTCGCCGAACTTCTGCCACATGTCGTTGGGGAAGGCATTCTCGCGGTCGGTCTTGGCAGCGAGTTCCTCGGGGATCTCACGGCGTGCGAAGTCTTGCACGCTCTCGCGCAGCTCGTCGAGGTCGGCTTGTGACGGGGGTGTGAAGCCCTGGGGGTGCTTTGTGGAGGCGTGACGGACGGCGGAGAGGGAAGGCAGGCGTGGTGCGTGGCGGAGGGTGCGTGTGAGCAGACGGGGGGCTAGGGCTGCCATGGTGAGGAGATGTGCATGGAGGAGCAAGTCTGTACGGGAGCGCAGAAAAAGTGTCGTTGCATGCTGGGCGTGGTCGCGGCAATGGACGGCTCAAGCTGTTGAACCGAGGCCGACCCCATGGGGAAGGCGGGAGTTGTCATGCCTCACCCCGAATAGGCTACTAAGGGGAGAATTCGGTTGTCCACAGAACATGGAGATACATGTTGATGTTTACGTGTAGAACGCATGCCACACTCCAATTAAGGCAATAAAGTGAGATTCCACCGTCATGTCCACATGGACGAACAGAAGGAACAAAGGGAGCCGCGAGACTGCAAAAGAAGAGCAGCCAGCAAAGCACCAAGCATATATCTCCAAACGCACACATCAACGGGCCAGAGCTGCGTAGAGCCTCAGCCTTGCAGCATCAGGTCTACACTCGATTCAGCATTGGTTTCAGGTTCGGATTTGGGTGGATATACATCGGATGAGACGTGGCGATGACGATGACGGAGCGGTACTGAGCGAGATGCTCTGAACAAGCAACTGCTTGAGCAAAAATACTCTGAGCAAGCAACGCAGCGCTCGCTAGTCGTATCAGAACCAGCATCTCATCCTCCCAGCTCACATGCAAACGCACAGCTCAAAGTCCAAAGTCTTTACTCCCTACACCAACGTGCTCCCTTCACCAAAGGTTACACACACCCCACACACCCAAATCCCCAGCAGCTAACGCCCCACGCTCTCCGCCAACTCACGCACACTCTTCAACGCGCGCCCATTACACTCGCCCACATCGAGCGCGACCAAAAACCGACTGACGCAATTATACGCCGCCACCGTCGCCGTCAGCTCGACCGTCTGCACATCGCCCAGCACCCGCCTCAGCGCCGCGGCCACGGCGTCGTCGACATGCACCCCAATGGTCATCTGGTCCGTGTACCTCAGCACCGCTCTCTCTTGCTCGCCCAGCGCATGCAAACCCATCTCATCTTCGCTTCCCTCTGCGGGGCTCGATGTCGAGGACGAAGTACAAGGCAACTCAAGCACAACCGCCATCACATCCTGACTAACCCCCGCCTTCAGCGCAAGAGCAGCGTGAACATCCCACTCATGCACTGCGCCATTAAGACTCGCTATGCGCGCGATGGCTAGCTCCTTCAGTCCCTCGGGAAGAGAGGTCTGGGTGCGTATCGCGCCGATGAAACTCGACCATCCGTCTGCGACGGCGGGGTTGTGGAGGAGGGCCAGGTCGAGTGGGATTAGGGGGCGTGGGGCGCGGCGGAGGGCGATGCGGTCGTAGACTGGTTTTGCTTCCTCGGTCGGGGCGGTGGAGGGCGCGTAGGGGACGCGCATTTTGGGGTGCGGGGTGCGGGTGAGTGTGCGGTGGGGTGTGCGGCAGGGGAGGAGGTTCGAGCCGATGGTGGTGGTGCGTGTGAAGAGTCTGGGAACTGAAAAGGGTGGTTTGGACATGGAATGGCGGGCGTCTGGACGGGGGAGGAGAGGTATATATACACACACACATATATAAACACATGCTCGAGGATCACGGGAAGCGATGTCGGCATTTGGAGATTGGCCACTGGGGTCCTCGTTGCTGGGTCTCGCGATACTGTGGAAGATGATGCTTTTCATTTGCAACGCTAAAATATCCGCTATTTACGAATAGATGATCAGATTCAATCCCAAACGCCATCTCGCCCATGCAATCTCCAGCTCGTACACCACAGTACACTACAGTACACTACAACCGGCTCGACTCGTCAAAGACATTGGGCAGGCGGGGGATGCCCTCGAGACGCCCCGTCTTCTTGCCCGTCGGCGCAAGCGTCACGTCGTAGGTGAGATCGTACTTTGCCTTGTCGTCCTTGCTGGGCTCAAAGTCGAGCAGCAAGTCGTCCTTGACAGCAAAGACGGTGTCGTTCTGCACCCACTGGTCGTCGCGCGGGTACAGCTGGGTGATGAGCGGCTTGAAGCCCTCGGCCGTGACCATCAGGTGGATGTGCGCCGGGCGGAAGGGGTGGCGGTCGAGGGTGCGGAACAGCTGGCCGGCGGCGCCGTCCATGGGCAGCGAGTAGGCCGTCGGCTTGTAGCAGTAGTACCAGTACTCGCCGTTTTCGTTTGTGGTGAACTTGCCGCGCAGGTTGTTCGGCTTCTGGTTCTCTTGGTCCTGGAAGTCGTACTTGCCGTTGGCGCTGGCCTGCCAGATGTCGATGACGGCATTGGGGATGCCCTTTTTGGTGTCCAGGTCGCGCACCACGCCGTGCATGAGCGTGACCTGGCCGTCGGGGTGCGGGTCGGTGATGATGCTGTCGCCGAGCTCGCGGAAGGGCGAGTGCGGCGACCAGAAGGGGCCGAGGATTGTGGACGATGTGGGGGCTTCGCCGGACTCGTTGATGTGCTTGTGGGCGATCTCATCGACCAATCTTGGATGCGTTAGTCAGCATACATGCGCAAATAGAGTTTCTCGACTTACGACTCGACGCCCAAGACGTCGGAGATGCGGTGGGCCTCGTTGCGGCTCGCGGTGGTGGTCTTGCCGATGCTGTTGACGAAGCGCACGCCCTCGAACCACTCCTCGTTGGTCAGCTCGACCTCGCGGATGAAGTCGTGCAGGTGGCGGATCATGCGGCCCATGACGAAGCGGGTGCGGTCGTCGACCTTGGGGCCGATGGCGTTGATGACTGCATCGGTGAAGTTGGGGTCGAAGCGGTGCTGCGCGCTCGCCGCGTCCTGGTACTCTGGTGCGGAGGCCATGATGATGTGTGGACTGAGATGTATGTGGACTGAGATGTATGTGGACTGAGATGTATGTGGACTGATATGTATGTGGTCTGAGATGTATGTGGACTGAGATGTATGTGTGGATTGAGATGTATGTGTGGACTGAGATGTATGTGTGGGCTGAGGTGTATGTGTATGGCAACTATGTACAAAGCACTTGAATTGTGTAGCTGGAGCTGACCATGTACAATTGAACGCGGAGAATGAGCAGAGTCAATCACTTCCACTGGGGAACCCCTCTTATATGATCTCTCACCAGCCAAACTAGCAGCGCGACCACCGCCGTGGCTCTAGCCGGGCCATCAGCGGTTCTCAAAGGCTGCGGCAAGACGCCCGGCTCGTGAAACTCTGGCAGCGAAACATGGGCGCTGAGCTGCGCGAGTGCCGGACGTTGCTAGCGTCTGCCCCGCGATGCCTGGGGTAGCCAGCCAATGGGAGCGCCTGTATTGACCGACGCCGCGGAAGAAGTCTCAAGCGGGCGCGGATGAAGACTCAGCCAGCTCTGCCCCGCCAGAGGTATGCATCGGCGCCAGCCTCGGAACCGACGTCGCGAGAAAGATGCGCGTGGGCTGCGCGCCGTTGGCGATGGACGATGCTGTCTCCAGCATGCTCAATTGCTCGCAGACACGCTCGCCCTGCACTGCTATCGCGCCTCCACAGCTCCCCGTCCAACATGACGAAACACCACCTGATGTGCGGCACGTGGGTGAAGCCTGGCGTCATCATCACCGTCTCCTTCGACACGGAGACGCTGAAGCTCGAGCTCGTGAAGAAGACGGAGATCCCGCACGATGAGCCGATCAGCTGGATGGCCTTTGACGTGCGTCTACGCTGAAGCAATCACGGGGTCGATTGATTGACAGTGGCAGCATCAACGCAAGAACATCTACGGCTCTTCCATGAAGCGCTGGACCTCGTTCCGCGTCGACTCGCCCAGCGAGATCGTGCAGACCGGCAGCCATCCCTTGGGCGGCCACCGTATGTCCCTCTCCCGGCCCGCATTCCGCCCACCCACTGACGCTCGCAGCCCGCGCAAACGACGCCGACACCAAGACACGTGCCATCTTCAACCTGCCCGCCAAGCAGCCGCCGTACGCCGTGTACTGCAACCCTTTCTACGAGCACGCGGGGCACGGCAATGTCTTCTCCGTCGACGACTCGGGCGCGCTGAAGGAAAACTTGCAGAACTACGAGTACTGCGAGAAAACGGCGATCCACGGCATGGTCTTTGACCCGTCCGAGACGTACCTCTACAGCGCCGACATGTGGGCGAACCGCATCTGGTGCCACAAGAAAGTCGACGCCGCGGGGCGCATGGAGACAGTCGGATACACCGAGGCGACGCAGCCCAAAGACCACCCGCGGTGGGTGGAAATGCACCCCAGCGGACACTTTCTGTACGCACTGATGGAGGGCGGCAACAGGCTGTGCGAATACGTCATCGACCCGCAGACAAAGCTGCCCGTGTACACGCACAAGACGTTCCCGCTAATCCCCCCGGGCATCCCGGACCCAGACACGCAGTACAGATCCGACGTTGTCTTCCTGAACAGCAGCGCCACGTACCTGTTCGCGACGAGTCGGTCCAACACGCCCAAGACGCTGCCGGGCTACATCGCGGCGTTTAAGATGGCACCGAGCGGCGCCATAGAGAGACAGTGCTTCTTGAACCCGACGCCCACGTCCGGCGGGCATTCCAACGCCGTGTCGCCGTGTCCGTGGTCTGATGAGTGGCTGGCGCTGACCGATGATGACCAGGGTGGGATTGAGATTTACCGCTGGAAAGACGAGTTCCTGGCCCGCGTCGCGCGTCTGGACGTCAAGGAGCCCGGGTTCGGCATGAATGCGATTTGGTACGATTAGCGAGGTATGGTGTTTGTCGTCGAGTGGACTGCAGTGACGACGGCGAGGTATGGTGTTTGTCGCCGAGCGGACTGCAGTGACGACAGCGAGGTATGGTGTTTGTCGCCGAGCGGACTGCAGTGACGACAGCGAGGTATGGTGTTTGTCGCCGAGCGGACTGCAGTGACGACGGCGAGGTATGGTGTTTGTCGCCGAGTGGACTGCAGTGACGACGGCATGGTGTGAGGTATCGAGGAGGCATAGCCAGACAATGCAAAGCTCATGTCAGTGCGCCATGTCAAATCAGACCAGATCGTAAAGCGTGTATTTCTCACCAGCCTCGATCCATCTACAAGAACCCCGCGACAAACCGCGCCACCTCGTCCGGCCTTTCAACCATCGGCAAATGCCCCGCGCCCTGCACGACCTCGAGATGCACCCCACTCCCGAGTTTCTCAGCCATATTCTCCCTCATCGTCTTGGGCAACACGCCGTCCCCCGCGCCAACGAGAAACGCGCCCCTTCCCTCGTACCCCGCCATCTTGCCGCGGATATCGTACCCGTGCAGCGCCCTGACGCTATCTCTGAACCCAGGCAGCGAGTTCGTCTTGACGAGCTGCTTCACGTGTTCCAAGCGCGGCCTGAGCGCGGCGTCGTCGTACGATTCCGACACGAACCAGCGTCGCGTTGTGATCTCCGCTAGCTCCTCGCCAACGATTGCTGACCCGTCGCTAGACACGAGGCCCTCCTTTTCTGCCAGCGCGACACGCTCAGTCCACGCCGCTGCGTTTGAGGGCGGGGCGAAGGCGTTCGTGTCGCATGCGATGAAGGACGGGATGCGGGATGGGTGTGTGAGGGCGGCGTTGAGTGCCGTTGCGCCGCCGAGGGATACGCCGACGATGCTTGCAGTTCTGACGCGCAGGGCGTCGAGCAGCGTCATCACGTCGGCGGTCAGCACGTCGAGCGTTATCGGCGCCGTGCTGCTCGCGGGTAGCGCAGAGCGCCCGCGTGTATTATACCGCAGCACGCGGTAGCTCGGCTTGAGCGCGAGGAAGCCCGTCACCAAGGCGTCCCAGATGCTGTAGTCGACTAGGATGCTGTTGCTCAGCACCAGCAGCGGCGCGTCCGGGTCCGGGTTCCCCTCGAGTCGGTATTCCAGGTCCACGCCGTCGGACGTGGTGATCTTGCTGGCGATGACCGGTCGCTTCTCTGCGACCGTGTGCGCGGGGTGCGTCTTGAAGAGCCCGTATTCGCTCTCAGCGGGCACGGCGTCGGGCGAAGAGAGCGATTTGAGATCGCGCGGCGCGGCGCCAAAGGTGTAGTACAACTCGTACGTCCGCCTCTTGCGGTCCGCGACGACGTCGGCGTAAATCTTCTCGCACCATTTCGTGGTCGTGGCGGCGATGAATTCCGCCCCACCCAAGCCGTTCTCGGGCGCGTACTCGTGGAGCGCGAGGAATTCGCGCGGCGTGTCGGGTTTGGCTTGGATGTCCAGGTACGACGTTACAAAGCGCCTGCTGCGTCTCCACCCGGGCACTTTCTGGAGGAGCGGGACGTGCTCTTCTTCGTACCACCGCTTCAGCTCTTCTTCTTTGCCTGCGCCTTCTTGCAGCACAAAGGAGACGGCGATCATGACGTTCTTGACTCCTTCATTCTCCACCTTTTGCAGATCCGTGAAGTCGCCGCCTGTCCACTCGCCAAGGAGATCGTACGACCTGCGGTCCACGAAGATCTGCTTCATGGTGTCGCGCTCGCGCTGTGTCTGGACCGGCGCGGAACGCAGTTTCTGGTACGGCTCGCGCGTCAGCCACTCCAGCTCGTCGAAGTCGTAGATGGCCATCCATTCCGGCTTCTCCCTGGAACCCTGCGCGTCGGCGAGATCGCTCGCGCGGTACCGGAACCCGTTGTTGCAGAATGGCAGGCGCAGGCGGTTCGGGCCGTGTTCGTTCTGGTACCTGGGCGAGCGCGTGAGATTGCGTCTGCAGCACGACACGGTTCCGCTGGGGCGTGTCAACTTACCAGTCGTGGAATTGTGCGTCGCCCAGACCCTCTTTGGGCTGCATGGTCACGTACAAGATGCCGGGAGTGCTTCTGGACGCCATTATGATTTAGTCAATGGTTCGGTGGGGATCAAGTCTGGACAATCCACGAAGTTTCAATCCTCGAAGTTAAGAAGCAAGATGTGAGCACGGTGGAGAGATGCCGTCGTGGTTTTTGCCGTCGTGGTTTCGACATGTCGAAGCTACCGAGTACCTACCGACGCTGGACGTGACGCTGGAGAAGTGCTTAGCCGTCTCCGATGACATCTGCCGGCAGCCGCTGATGTACGAGAGCGCCAGCTGCCCCTCCATTCGGGGGTCCGAGTGGTCCGAGTGGGTCCGAAGTTACCCCTCGTCGCATCAATCGGGGATGTTGTGCGACCAGCGCCCGAGTGTGGACATCTGTGCTGCGCATTCCATGTTCGTAATGTCTGCTGGGTAGGTTTGGATGCTGAAGTTGACATCGTGGTGTGACGGCGGTCGACGAACGGATCGTTGTCAATATTCTTATTGACGGCAGCGCGGCAAAAAGTGGGCCGAATAAGAGTCCAACTCGTGACTTCATGCAAGTGCTTTACTGTGCATCATGCTGTCGCTGTATCCATCTGTCTTGCTATGATGATCGAAGTGACGTTGGAGGTGGAACAATGCTGATGACGCGCAGTACCACGAGCCCGGGGCAGAAGCTCGACACAGCACGGCGTCAGAGATGCTCATGCTGTTGGCCGTGTGGTCTATTGAACAAGGGAACTCACGTCAATCCATTGTGTCGATTGTTCACTGTCGACCTTGCGCTGAGAATCTGCTCGACTTTGTACTGAGAATCTGCTCGACTTTGTCCTGAGAATCTGCACTATTCTGCTACGCTGCTGGCGACAATTCATGGAACGCGTGCAATCGCGTGCCGCAGACGGCGAACTGGCGTGTGGATATCTCGACATGTCAGCAGTACCGGTATCCATTCCAGAAACTGATCTCGCTTACGTCACCGCAGCCACTGTGTTTGTATTCGCGACAAGAGTGAGCAGCGAGCAGGAGCTGTCAATGCAAGAATGTGTTGCGGCTTGTATTAGGGACGAGACGAAGCGGGCGACAGTGTTGGATTGTCGTTGATGTGAAGAAGTCAAAGGCGAGTCGACCTTGGGCTGCCGTGGGCGCGTGATGAACTGGGATCCTGACTTATCATGAACACCTCACGAGGCCGGCCGTACACGGTTGGAATGTCGGTCCTACGCAACAATTGCCATGACTGCCTGTCTTCAACGGACAAAGTAGAAGCACCCCGTTGGCTCTTCGGTGGGCAAAGATAACGACAAACCTCGATATTCGGGCGTGTGCGGGTTCCGTACCGATAGCTGCCAGGACACAGCGGTCTGGCATCGTCCAAAGTGTACCCTCATCAGCTCCATTGACTTTTCATCAGAAATGCGGACAATATCCAAGTCTGCTACTCACGACAGGTTACAAGTCGTCGAGGCGGTTAACGTTGCCGGTGATGGTGCCTCCGGGAGACTGTTACCGCTGGTCTAAAACTAGGCTCAACACCGATGTGGGTCATTTCTGGCGCCACGGCTCTGCACCCACTGTAGTCTCGCAGCACGCCCCTGCTTCCGCTCACGACAGGCGTAAAGCGCGCTACTCACAATAGCTAGTCAGACGGGCCGATGAGCACTTAAGAGTCAAGACCACCTCAGCGCCTGGAGAGGACCGCAACTTTGTCTGTATTCAAATCCATCGACATGTCACTGAAAGACAAGGTCATCGTCATCACCGGCGCAGCGTCCGGGATAGGCGAGGAAACTGCCCGCCTGTTCGCGAGCAAAGGCGCCGTACTTTCCCTCGCCGATGTCCAGGAAGAGCGCCTCCAGAGACTAAAAGCCGAGCTCATGCAAACACACCCAGAGGCGAAGATCATCGCAGTCACCGTGGACGTCTCGCAACGCAAGGAGGTTGAAGACTGGATATCCGAAACCGTGGCTACTTTTGGCAAGCTGGACGGATGTGCTAATCTTGCGGGTGTCATCGGGAAGCAGAGCAACGTCGTCCCGATCGGAGGGGTCGACGACGATGACTGGGACTTTGTCTACGGTGTCAATGTCATTGGTTTGCGCAACTGTCTTAGGGCCCAGGTTCCCCACATCAACGAGGGCGGCGCGATAGTCAACGCCTCGAGCATCTTAGGACTCATCGGCTTACCCAACAATCTGGCATACGCAAGCAGCAAGCACGCAGTCGTTGGAATGACAAGGGTGGCTGCAAAAGAGCTGGGACCGAGGAAAATTCGGTGCAATTGCTTCTGCCCGTAGGTTTGCGTGGTGTTGAACGCCGTCACATTCGCTAACAACATCATGTAGCGGTCCGGTAGACACGCCAATGCTGAGGAACAGCTATGAGCTTCTCGGGAAAGACGTGGATTATAGTTTCCTGCCGCTAGGCAGAACGGCCCATCAGAAGGAACTTCCAGCTACTGTTGAATTCCTTATCTCAGATGCCAGCTCGTTCATGACAGGAGTCGCACTCCCTGTCGACGGCGGGTGGTATTGCTAGTAACACAACGTACCAGCCACGAGTATCAGCAGCCGACAGCAATATCTCAATCGAAGCATTCATTGAAGGTACTCCGAGTCATGATGTCATAGTGCGAAGCCATTATCAAATTCACACCACGACAACGTCCAAGCACTACGACAGACAACCGCTGGATATCGCATAGTTACTGAGTAGACCTGCTTACCATGTCGACAGAAAACCTGATCCGCATCACCGTCTTCGCAAATCGAAATCCCAAGATCTCAGAAGATGAGTACCACAAGCACTGGGCCGAGAAGCACGCACCACTCGTCGCATCGTGGTTGCAACGGCACGGCGTTGTGAAGTACACCCAAGTACATCAGTGCCATTTTCATCTCTCACAGCGTCAGAAGGCTAATATCCTCCAGTACCACACCACAACTGCCCACAAGAACCTGACCAGCCAGCAAACCCTGTCATATGACGGCATGGCCGACTTTTACGTGAAGAATTACGAGGACTTCGAGAGGGCTTACGATGATTTGTTTTACAAGGATGTAGTAAAGCCGGACGAGGAGTATCTGTTTGACATTCAGAATATGCGGGTCATGGTCGGGACAGAGGCCTGTGTGGTTGAAGAGGGCAGGATTGTAGGAGGCAGGAGTCCGACATCGTAATGACAGCTGCTGATCTAGGACTGCGATGTCAGCAATTCCAGCTCATACCTCTCTCCAGTTGGTCACGTGGCTGGCTGCCTTCGATTAGCAGACTAACGTGTGATGTCAGTCAGGCGTGCCGCAAATTTCGGTGGTGCATCAGGTACACTCAAGCACCTATCGACGCTCATCCGATCGAATATATCAGGTACAGTATCTCATCGGTCTATCCTACACTTGCCACCTAGAACGTACCTGCATCGACGACCATGTCCGACGCCTGGTTTTCTTCCAAGATCGCTCCCAACGGCGACACTAATGACAACGAAGGCGGATGCGACCAACAAGAAGCCCAAGCGTTAAAGACCTACTTGCACCATGAGACAACGCCGACCGAAGCTGCCCAAGCAATCACTCGTCCCATCAATGTTGCAGCCGACCCAAAAAGTGAGCTGCACCACCTATGGGGCCTCATGTACGACGCCTTCCTTGAGCTTCCTCGGGAGCATGTAGCATTCCTCACAACACTCATGCAAGCCATTGAAGACCTTCCAAATCCCGAAGGGATACCTAACGGCAGCGGTCACCCCGACGACAAGTTCTGGAAGGAATCACCTGGATTTGGCAATCTTTGGGCAGACGTGAATCCGTCATACTGCTGGAGGGGCATTGCGGACGGAAGCGTAGGTAAGAGACGCGATGAAATTCGAAACAATCATGTGCGGCGAGCAGAAGTTGAAGCGAAGCTCGCGGATGCAGGGCTAGCAGGAGTCACGATTCATTGGGGATATGAGGTGGTGGCTGATGCGCTGGAGAGCAGCAATGCTATCCTCGACTTTGAGGTCCCGGCGGCGGTCGAATGGCTCGTGGTTTGTGGTGAAATGTTTAGGGATGGTGCAAGGAGGATGGAACAGAGTCGGGGTTTGAGGGGAGGTTGCGAGCCGCCGAGAGATCTGTGGGAGGCAGAGGATGATACAGTTATGACGATGAAGAGATGGAAGTTTTGGAAAGAACGCTTGAGGGAGCTCCAGGCAGATCCGGTATTGGTAATAGATATAAGGAGAGCACTTGAGGTCATGGAGGGGAAGGACTAAGAAACACAGTGAATAACGACCATCCGGAGCTACAAATGGCATTGCTAGACTCCTTGGAGGCGCAATGCCATTGGGGAGTCCGAGAATTGACGAAGTACAGGGCTACAGGTACTTATCATCTGAAGGACCACCGCCAAGTTTCAACGCTTGCGAAGACCAAACTATTATTCACTTCAGCACAGTGGTTGTATGAGAGGTCATTGCTAATGATGCTTCCCAAACTAGGCAGCTTGCTCCTTTGTATGAGACCGTCCGTGTTGAAGGAACGGCATTTGGTGGAGCTTTGTGGTACAAGGAAAGGCTGGGAAATACATGCGATAAGCAAATTGGGTGAAAGGTGATTAAATCATTTATCGCCCACAACATCTACAAAGGATTGTGTACTTTTCAACCTGTGTCAACGATATATTGAAGTGCAAATGTCGTCTTACACGAGATTGGTAAAGGGGCATGATTGCTGTGCCAATGTCGTCCAGTGCATTTGCGAGTCTCATAGTAAGACTGTAACCTTTCACCCTCGGACCTTGAAATCGCTCAAGAGTGCCTGTTGTTACAGGATCAACAGCACTCCCATCGAGAGACCACAGCAGCCTCTTAGTTCAGCCAGCAACAGACAGACATAGTTCTAAGCACACATCATTATCGTCTACGTTCGTAGTCCACCGAATGCCTGACTGGAACCAAGATTGAAGCGACCAGGATCCGCAGTATCCATACAATCAGTAGCCATATGTCCAAGCAAATAAACAGCCGGGGTGGCTGGGTAAGATGCTTGCCTTGGACAATGCAATGCATCCCTATACCTTTAAAGTGATAGAGGTATGGGCAACGCAGTGGCATGGCGTTGATGGACTGAGTGGCTATCTCGGCATCCACCGGATCATGATACCTTTTGGTGTCTATACTAAGGAGAGGCTACAATGGTTGGATGGCAATCTCACCAACTCGACCAAGATCGACAACCGGCTACAGCAGGCTAAGAATCTGTAATAGTGAGTGGACAAGCAGCCAGACTCCTCCCTCTTCTCCTGGCTTCCATTCTTCAAGAAGCTTGAACCGAACCAGAGCGATTACACTGATGATTACTGCAGTGTGGCATGACGACACTGAGCGAGACGAGGCAACAAAGCGGCCGTTCCGTTTTATCAATATGGCGCCCGAGCAGAAGCCCTGGGTTCTCAACGACCTAGAGACTTTGTTCTATAAGAACTGGATGGCCTACTATCGCTCTAACGGGAGTCCCTACCGACGTGGGTAGCTCCTGTACGGACCTCCAGAAATAGGGAAGACGTCCCTGGCGCAAGTGATTGCGAGCGACTATGACCCAGAGCTGTTCGAGATCAAGCTTGCTAAACTTAAACTGCAGAGCACGTTCAAGAACCTGCCGTGACGTTGGGTTGTGTTGTTCGAAGATACCCATACCGCAGGTATTGGCCGCGAAGACTTAGTTCGAGCCGAGACTGAGTCGAAGGAGAAAATGAAGAAGCTGTCTCAGCAGGAACAGCGAAGCCTCCCCCAAGACATGAATTATGAGAGCAATCCAGAGGACTACTGTCGGACGCACGACATTGAGATCGAACCAGAACATTCCTTTGTCACACCCAGCGGACTGCTCAACGTCCTCGATGGGTCAAGAGCTAAGGAGGGTCGCTTCGTCATCTTGACAACGAACTCACCTAAGACGCTGGACAAGGCGCTCGCTCGCAAAGGTCGCATGGAGATGGTCTTGCATATAGGTTACAGTTGCCCCGGCTCTGCTGCAAGTATGCTCAAGCGAATGTTCAACACAGATCTGACCTTTCACATCCCAGAAGGAGAGCTTGAGCGTTTGGCTGAACGTTTCGCCAAGATCCCCAAGAATATGTCCACTCCCTGTGCGATCGTTAACTACTGTCGAAGCTACCGCAAATGATCTCGAGAGGCCATCGAGAAGTTCCGGAAGTTCGTGGAGGATCGGATTCAGGGCAAAGGCGGACTACCTGTACGACGTCAAGGACGACGCTCAAGAAGGCAAGGTCCGCGCCGAAAACACCGAGAACAAGCAAGCGGAAGTTAAGCGTCTTGTTGCGGCGCCCCCACCAGCCGATTCTTACCTTGAGTCCAGTGGAGAAGACAGGGCATACTCAAGGTTGAGAGGAACCAGTAAACCTCCTTCTCCGGGTGCAGAGAGCGGCTCATTTACGCCTATGAAAGTCGCCGGCGCTGGACTGATCTTCTAATTCGTCTGAAAAGAGCTCCACTGTACGACCGCGTCTAACTGACTTGTTGCGTGGAAGCGGAGAGGAAGATTGGATGTTTGAGGCTGGCCATTATCCTCTTGAGTGCGCATACAAGATTGGACGGGCCCCTAGCCTTTTCGGACAATGTCATTGGTGATCCCTGCGTCTCGTTCGACAGATGAGTGGTAGTATGTTTGATGGAAACGCGAAACAGGCCACACGTGTATGTATGTGTATAAGGTAGTTTGTAGATGGATTGATGATTGACGTGAGGGAAAGCAACGATCTGAATCAAGGCATACGGTAACGTATTCCACAGGCGAGCGCCGCACACGGGCGAGCGCCGCACCCCACCAAACTTACGCACCTTATTTAACGTCTAACTTAACAACGTTATAATAATATATAACGTGGTCCACCACCGAGCGAATCACCCCACCGAGCGAATCACTCTGCCAAGACCACAACGCTTTCTACTATTAATTACAATGGCTCAACAACCTAATATTGAATTACTTTCCTGTGCAGATAGAGTTATACTTGCTACCTAAGCAATAAAATCTAACGCGTCACTAAGCCAGCGACGCGCTGCTGCTATCTACAGGGTTCCTCAAAGTACACTTAGCCATCAAGGCGCTGGAAGAACCCCACAACGCGATACCCACCCTAACTCATCTAAGCTTCAGAAGCATGAAGAGGAGGCAGTTATACAATACATA